CAGACGGCGTGCTGCGTGATCCTGACCATCTGGCTCGTCCCCGTCTTCATCTCCATCCCGTCTGCCTACATGGCCTCAGAGACGACCTACCCACATGTGGACGGTTGCCCCGATAAGACCTTCTGCGCTCAGATCTGGCCCGTGGACCAGCAGGTTTACTACCGCTCTTACTTCCTCCTCGTCTTCGCTCTGGAGTTCGTGGGCCCCGTGTCTGTCATGGCCGTCTGCTACACCCACATCTCCAGAGAGCTGTGGTTTAAAAATGTTCCAGGTTTTCAGACGGTACAGATCCGCAGGAGACTGCAGAAGCGCAGGAGGACCGTGGTGGTGCTGATTCTGGTCCTGGTGGCCTACATCCTGTGCTGGGCGCCGTATTACGGTTTCACCCTGCTGCGGGACTTTTACCCCACCCTCATCTCCACAGACAAGAACTCCCTGGTGGCCTTCTACGTCATCGAGTGCATCGCCATGAGCAACGGGATCATCAACACCCTCTGCTTTGTGAGCGTCCGAAACAGCAGGAAGCAGCTGAATAAGTCCATCAAGGTCCCTCTGAAGCTGGTGAGCTTCGTGGCCACCAAGTGGCTGGATGAAGCTGAGCCGCGGACATCCTCCCTCCGGGTGATGGAGGAGGTGGAGGGTGGCCGGCTGAGGTAGAGCTCAAGCCTTTTAGGAGACACAGAATAAGATCAAGAGCTGATTTGAGCTCCTGATGTTGGAACACTGGCTGACCTGACACTCTTACCAAGAGTCCATCACAGGAACCAAGAACATCTGGAGGAACTCAGGAACTAAACCTGCAGCTACGCTTACTTCTTCTTCTATGGAAGAAAAAACATCCGGTAAAGCGGCTGCACGCAGAGAGCTGAAGTGAGGAGCGAGCTGTGAGGTGTTTGCTCAGCAGAACCGAGTGTTAGCGACGCTGCCTCCGCCATGGAGAGACTTTCTTTTTTGTCGTTTCCAGCTGTTTGTATCTTATGTGGATGAAAACCTTCAGTTATTATTTACAACACTGAGGCCAGAGACCTGTTTAAACTGGATTGCATTGTTAGGGGCGTGGCCTCTCTGACTGACAGGTGGCTGTTGCTGCTAGTGTCACCTGAACTGGACCTCTGCACCATGTTTGTGATGTTGGAGCCTTAAGGAGCATTTTAACGACATCATGTGACCAATAACATGGCTGCTGTGTGGGTAATTGTGGGAAGTTGCTAACTAGCATTAGCTGCAAAGTTA